TAAAAGATAATATTCTTGAGAACTCCTAGTATGGTACTAAGGTATAATAGTATTAATATATATTATATTTTGACCGTACTTCAATTTAAGGCGGCTCTAAACGATTGGATTTTTCATGCATTTAGACCAATAAGCTGGCGAAAAATACACATACTTCTAGTAGTCCAATTTCAATTTTGAATACTTATTTGGATTCGTTAGCCTCTTTTCTATGATCTGTAGGAAAAACTTTTTCATCTTTTTGTCTAGTTAGCACTTAAAAGTGCAAGTTAAATTTGAGAAATTAAGCAGTCATTTGGAACCGTAATATACGTAAATTATCTAAAATATCCAAAATCGGTTTCCTACAAATCATAGAAAAGAGGCTGACGAATTCAAATAATTTTTCAAAATTGAAATTGGACTACTAGAAGTATGTGTATTTTTCGCCAGCTTATTAGCATTTTTCACTGTTGTGAGTGTACAAAAATATTTTTCGAGAGTGATTACGTTGACTTGTGCATGCGCGTACGTGTGCTATTGAACCGTGTGCCCGCAGCCGGGCGATATAAAATCTATTGTTATCGAGTTCGAATTTCTTCGAATTTCACACTAATAATCATTTACGACTAACACATAGATTACGGGCGGCGACGACAAGATTAGAAATTGCCTAAATTGTTCCCCTTAAATAATAGCCACTAAGAGCCGCCTTAATAGCGAATTTAAAAGCGGACACTATATATTCTAATTATACTAATGTATAACACGTATCTACAAACGTAGGCGAGGTTTGTCGATATACGACGGTATTGTAAGCATATCGCAATATTCAACTATACTTGGATTTAAAAACAGATAGGTAATCGCCGAACGGAAATAATTATGTGTCACACAGCGCTCGCAGTCGTTGTTACAATTTTCTAATTCTTTGTTCGATTAGGCAAGGTAATAACTAATAGGTAATAACACTATAGCCTTACTATAAAACGGCAACGGCGGATCGGACATTTATCGGAAAAGTTAGTGGTATTGACTATAAAGGTATATTATTATAGAGCGCATGTATAGCTCATGTATACCAGGTTAGTGGTCGGAACGGTATTTACGGATACCTTATTTTTCTCAGCGGTCAAAAATGAGCCGATCGACTTTCAGGAAATAAATAAATAATAATACTACTATCGAAACGAAATATGAACTCGGAAATAGATTGTCGTTTAGATTGTATTATAGGTATACCTACTAGTGGCGCACACTGGAGGGTTCAAGGGTAGCAGTTGCTACCCCTGATTTTCTTGGTAGGTGGGTGGGTGGACCCCCTGGCTCCAAAATATTTACATCATGAAAATTCTATTACGTATAAAAATATTGAAAATAAACTATTGAATAATTATAGGCCATAGCCATTAGTCTATTAGCCAATATAGAGGTAACCGAATACATTTTCTACCCCTATTTATTTTTGAGTGTGCGCCACTATTACCTACTATAATAATATTACTATAAGCGCTGTCCGAGTTTTGTCAATCGTCTAAAAAACAAATCACGGACATTTCCCCCCGACTGTTTTTGGTGTAGTAGGACATTCCCCCCCCATTTTTGTTTTAAGTTTACTATTTAATAATATAATGTTATTATTGAATATTATGAAATTAATTTATGCCATTGTCTAATATTTTCAAATATTTTCATAAATATAATATTTTTTTTTCTATCAACCCGCGATAACTTAGGCCATTGGGTGGATTTTTTACTGTGGGGGAGGGTACTGTAGGTAAACACGCGGGTTTGATAGTTTGGCGGATTTTCAAGTAGGTACCCGTAGGTATCTGCGATGGCCGGGTGAGAGATGGCGGCACTTGTTCATTGGACACTGTCAACTGTCACTTGCCCGAAGAAAAATGCCGCCCGCTGCCGAGATTTCAAACCGGCACCAGTGCGCGTCGCGACCGTCGCCTTAGTCCACTCGGCCACCCCCCCCCCCCCCATAATAAACTATAGACGTATATTTTTGATCAACTGAACTACTTGAATCAAATTCACAAGCTATTATTAAATTGATAAATATTCAAACTGTTACATTTTTAACAAAAAATAAAATAAATAAATAAATAATATGAACAAAGGCTAAAAAATATAAGTTGAGAAATAATAAAAGAATGAGAATTCAAATATTTTTTTACTAAATGTATCATTTTTATGTCGGAATATTTAACCATTTTATTAATTATAATTTATTTTATACCTACTTATTTTTTTTTTTTTTAATTTTTATTGTTTGAAGTAAGTAGTTCAGTTGATCAAACATATACATTCCATGTTACATCATATTAAATAATAAATAATATTATATGTATACTTAATATTATTAAATTCAATATTATTAGTCAATAATTAACTTTAAAAATAAATCTGGGGAAATGCCCTACTAGACTGAAAACAGTCGGGGGGAAATGTCCATTTACCCTAAAAACTGACGATTGCCTAAAGTGATAAAATATATTATAAAGGTGATTGGCATTATTAATAGGTACCATATAGTTATGCCATAACACTGATATAAGGATATGCGCATATTATACTTTGACCGCTGTACGCACGTCGCTTGTGGACGAATTATTATTATTTTTACACGATTGTTCTCGTAGGTACGTATAGATTTAGTAGATGTATTTTTTTTCCTGCTAGTTTACTAATCGCATACGATTAAGACGGAGACGATGACGCGGCCTGTCTTGGACAGCCTCTGCCGGTCGTCGTGCACTATTTATCAAGGTCGGCGGTGGTAATAATAATAATTACACGGCTACGGTGCTTTAGTTGCATTTGCGGTGTGTGTGTGTATGTGTGAGTGTGCAATATAATGGGCACGACGATGGCATTAAACGTTCTGGGCACAACATATTATCATTTTTTTTTTTCCGATGTCTCTCATCGGATCAGTCCGCCCGACATGATAGCGATTTTATTTTTGACAAGAAAACCATATCATACTGACCTTTGAAAAAATAATAATGAAAATTACAATAATAAACGATGTATATTATTTTATTCACGAGCAGTCCGTAAACGTCGTGACTTCCTCGACAGTCGTCCATGCAACTTAAGCAGTATGCTACCTATGTCAGACAGCCAATTGTACCTACCTATATGTATTATAATATGTTTATATGCGTTTTCGTTGCAGCATTTTTAATCGATCGGCAGCTGAGTACCGACTACCGACTGAGTGTTGTTGTACGTCACTATCTCACCGTTGGTAATTGTTATTGTATCACCTCCGCGCGTACCAATGGGTATAATATATAATTACAAAAGCGACTTTTGCCTCCTCGTTGTTTTTCATTTTTCAATAATTCCAACAGTTTTTTTTTCTTCAAACAATACGCCTATAATATGGAGTCCACTGCAGTATTGTATTCGCAGTATAATAGTATAAGAGCTATTTATTGTTCAAGTACGGTATGCGCTCGACCGAATTGGAACGAGGCTAAGGTGATATATTATTTTATTATTAAACCATTTATACCTGACTGTAAAAAAAAAAATCACAGTATTTATATTAGAGTATAAATTGTACTCTGTATAATATAATAAAAGAATACTTAAAACACCACGATGTATTCAAAATCTAAATTTTTTTTTATTTCAATTTTCCTTCATTTTTAACAAGTTCTTAATTTTAATAATTTATACAATTTATTTTTACATATACATAGATAACGAAAAATAAAATAAAATTACAATTACGTATTACTAAAAAATAAAGTTATATAATATATTAAATGAAATACAGTATGTACAATGCTATTACTGGCCGAATCCCTATAACTTAAAGAATGAAAATAAAAATAATAACAATTTATTAATATTAAAAATGTAATATTATTAAATCTTACAAAATATTATGTAGCTATATATAAACAATATCCATAATATCATATTTGTGTGTAGACAACGAGCTAACTAAAATAATACACGAGACCCGTTCATTTATTATTCAGTTTTTAATATTATAATCGAAATAGTAAAATAATATTATATAAAATCGGATTTACCTAGCGCGTGCACAACACGACATATCTAATAATAATAATAATAATAATGAAAATAATATTAATAATAATAATGATAATAATAATAAAAATAATAATAATAATAATAATAATGATGATAATAATAATAAAATAATGTATGCAGTTTGTCTTATTCCGTCTTGAAAAAATAAATTACTGCTTTGTTGACCACACGTATATTATAATATGTAACATAAAAATACGGGTAATAAATTACGGGTGTGGGCCTAGGGTGTACACACACGTGTATTATAATGTGCACAATATGCGTTGTCGCGAAGACAGCCGCCCACCGGCATTGTTACCGAGTGTGACAAACTCCTATTGTCTTTGACACTGTGATGTGCCCACTGCAGTACCTATTTTTTTTCTTCTCTGTTTTGTTTTCGTCTTCTAAACCCGAAATGGACAACGGGGTTACCGCAATGTAAACACGCACACCGCACCACGTCATATAGTAACCGTATAACCGGTATAATAATAATACAAATATATATGTATTACGAAGGTACCGCGGTACGCGTGCTCTTCTCCCCCCCTCTCCACAACCCCTGGCTGAGAGATATTAATACGCGTCTATATAGCGTCATAGCGCATGACACACCGCATCTCATTCGGGTCGCGTCGTTCAATATTATTATAGAGGTACTACACCTCTGTACGAAATTGGGAACGATCGTTTTTTTCTTTATACAATGACTAGGACGATGCCGAAAAAAATATGAAAAATTTCTCAAAAACAAAATTTCTTCCGTCTTTTGGACACGACGACGGCGGCGGCGTGAGTACACTCAGCTGGTACGATACAACGCGGTAGTGGTACAGGTGGTAGTAATAATAGTAGTAGTAGTAGTAATAGTGGTATAGGTAGTAGTATAGCAAGATTTCTCCTCCGGAGCGATATCTGTCGTCTGCTGCAGGTGGTGGCGGTGGTCAGTCGAACTAGACTTCGGCCGTCCGTTTGGTGAGGTCCAGCGGCGAAGGCGGCAGCGCGGTGGCCGTGGCCGCGGTCTCCGGGTCGTCGGTGGCCGAGTGCCGACCGCCGGCGGACTGGGGCGCGTGCGGCACCGGCGACCTGTTGTACTTGGCGGCCGTGGTCTTCAGCGACAGGTCGATGGGGTATTCCTGTTCGACGGCCACGCCGCCCGGCGCCGGGCTGGACAGCAGCAGATCGCCACCGGCGGCCGTGCGGCCCGCGGCCACGGCTGCGTGCCAGCCGGCCGCGGCCATGGACAGCGTGAGGCCGCCGCCGACGAACGGCGTCAGTCCTGGTCGGGTGACGGACAGCGGGTAGTACGGCGAGTGGAAACCGGAGACCGGCGACGAGCCGACCGTGGCCGACGACGGGCTGACGGACAGCCGGATGCGTTTGGCGTCCGCCGAACCGGTGGACGAGGCGGACGGCGACGAGGACAGCGGCCGGAACGCGGGCGGCGTGCCGCCGGTGGTGCATGACGGGCTGCGGTGGTGGTGCCGGAGCACAGGACTGGCAGTCTTGCGGTGGCCACTGCCACGGTTGTCCTCTTCGTCGGGCATGGACGAGCCGCCCGAGTCGTCGGAAGCGGACGGCCGGCGCCGGCGACGGCGACCGCCCTTCGGCGAATGGTCGTCACCACCGTTGTTGTTGTCATTGCGCTCGCCGTTGTCGTCGTCGTCGTCGTCATCATCATCGTCACCGTCACGGTGACGGCGGCCACGGCAATCGTCGTCGTCGTCGTCGTCTTCATCGTCGTAACGGTGACGGTGTCGTCGGTCAATGCTGTTGTTGTTGTTGTTGTGATGATGGCGGTTGCGGTGATGGTGGTGGTGTTGGTGGTGCCCACTGATGATTGCGTCAGCGGCTGCCTGGCGACGGCAGGACGCGTCGTCCTGGACGGCGGCGGTCATCAGGGCAGCGGCGGCCCCGTAACCGTTGAGTCGGGCCTGCAGGAACTTGTCGGTGGTCAGGAAGTGGTGGCCGGGGTGCACCAGACCGGCTGGGTACAGCGGCGAACCGAACGGCGACGGCTGCGACTGGTGGTGCGGCGGCTGCTGCTGCTGGTGGTGCGGTGACGACCGACTGCTGCCGTTGTGGTGCTGGTGGTGATGGTGCGGCGGGTGGTGGCCGACGGCCGCGGCTGCGGCCGCCGCGTTTTGGTCCTGCAACAGACAGTGGATCTTGAACCAGTTGGACCGGCGTCCGTACCGCGACCCGCTCTTAGACATGCCCACCAACAGGCATTTGCGCAGTCTGCACGCCTTGCACGACGTCCTGTTCTTCTTGTTGATCACGCACTCGCCGTTGTTTTTGCATTCCGATATCGAACTCAGGTTGTTGTAGGTCCGTCCGAAAAACGACTGTGAAAAAAAAACAAGGTTTTTCCGTTTAGATAATAATTAAATACAATACAATAATTAAAAGATGTAGGTCGGCAAGAATATGGTTATTATAGTTTGTAATCAATGGAATATAACAATATTGTTTGTTATAAACTTTTATTTTTTGTATTTTTTTCGGATATTTGGATTTCAATTGCATTTTAATATAGATAGACACTAATTCACAATAGTTGTGTATTCAACATTTGAGTAAAGCGAGTCAACACTTACCAATCTCAATATTAGTGTACAGGAGATTTAAATTTTTGATTGATTAGAAATACGATTTCAAGAAAGATATTTTTATAATATAAGATAATTTAATCGAAATTTGTAAGTCATTTTTCGTACTTTTTAGTTTTTACTTTTTAGTGTATTTAAATCCACGCCTACGCATTATCGTCTAGAGTCTATAGAAGAATACCAAGTACAGACTATTGGAAAGCAATTATTTAGTGAAATATCAAAGATTAGGAGAGGAGGTATTTTTATTATAACAAGTCGTCTCTTCGGATTGGGATGATCTTTTCGTAATTTCGTTAGTAAAGATATTATGTTACAACGAAAAAAAAGTGAGCGCGCGATATATCGTAATATGAATGGGTACCAGCTATGTGTTTATGTGCGTTTTGACCGGAAAATAATAATATATGTAATATACGCGGCGAGGGCGTGTCCGCCTTGGCTCCGAGCTATATGAGTCCGCTCCACACACAGCAGATACTTTGCTGACATTATTCCCACGAATATATATATATATACATATATAGTATAATATGTATATATATAATATTGTAATATTATTTCGACCGACGGCGGCGAATGTTATTAAAAACGATAGATCACACGGTCGATATATATATTGTGTGTGTGTGCGTGTGTGTGTGTCTTCGTGCGCCAAAACCAAAGACTTAACCCGGCCGCGATAGGCATCTAAAGACTAATGAGTCACATCTATATACGTTTATAGTATTATATATTTATAAATGTGTGCTAGTGTGCGCGCGTATACTAAATACGAATCGGTATATTAATCATAAATCTTCGTATCGCGGCGATCGAATGAATGAATGTTATTATACAGCCCATACAACTATATATAATGTGTGTGTGTGTGTGTGTGTGTGATTGGATCGAAATGCACTTACGGTTTTCGTGTACGTACATTTTATATTGAATGGCCGACGAAAACGGCACAATTATAACCATATACACACACGCACATAATATAGGCACGTAATATACATATTATTAATATATAATATAATACACCTATGTTATAAATACACACGCATTATTCGGCTATTAAATGTACCCCGAGGGTTTCGTACGTGAAATACCGTTGCACGTACTATGTTGGTTATTATAATGTTATATACAAACGAAAAACAATTTGTAATTTGTTTAAATACGAGTGGCCGCCGCCGACACTATTTGTGAACGGGTACGAGTTCTCTTATGGTGTAGGCATGACGTGTTTGGGAAAACACAATGCACGCGCAACTGAGAGGGTAAATTGCATTTCCCCCCTCCCCCTTCCACCCACTATACCTTTATTTCTAGTATGATGATTAATGGACGACGTTTAATGTAAAAATGTTCTTTTTCATTCTTCGACGTTATAATATCAGTTACGCATTTTTTTTTTTTTTATAAATATAACTCATCAAATTCGATAAGTGAATCGTTGCAATCCGTAATCACGACGAAGTCAAGGTGTATTTATAAATACCTACACCGAATGACGCGATGTAGTCTCGAGTCTTCTATACATCGTGACCGTAATCTAATAATCGTAGTTGAAATATATATTATATTCGTGATACGACCAAGTATGCATGTGTCTACTGTATTTGTTTAGTGCTTTAAGCTTTTTCCGCAATAGGTACATAATATTGTGTTGCTAGGATTACAATTGGATTTTTTTTATAATTTCTTAATAAGGTATTTGATACCCCCTTGGCCCCTTCCCACCTGAAAACGTTCACTAGTGACGACAGTACGACACTGTTAAATATTGTGTCTCAACCGAAAGCTGCTGTGTACGTTAGATACGAAAATTACGGGGTTTAGATTTTGTATTATATATTATATGTTTTCTAGGAGAACGGAGGTTGTGTCTATACAGTCGTTAAATAACTATGTTCAACTGAAGTCATCAAACACGTTCCGGGAAGTAAATTTGTGTCACCATATTTATATAAATATGAAGAGCAAGAGGTATTTGTTGTGAAATCGATATTTATGTAATAAATATTTTTATTATCTCGGGTGAGACGCGCGCGTATGTGGTTTGTCCATATAATACGACGTATATTATAATGGTTTTGAAAATAAATATCACTTTTATTTCGTGTCTGTGCGGTCGACGGGAAGAGTGAGCGTATGGTAGCAACGGCGGTGAAAAACGAGAGTGGACGAAGACTATAAAATTCTTGTGGGTCCGCACATAGCCGTACGGGGCTGACGCAACGGTACAAAATAGAATTAAATATGTAATACGTTCATTGTGTTTGAACAATTTTAAATATTTCCGACCGGTGCGTAGTTATATTACTATCTTTTGACCATAATAGTTCTGCCGTTTTATTAAATCAGCATACGCTTGTATAGGAATATTGTGAAAAAAAATAAAATAAACGTTATTCGCGCCAGCAAGAGAGACCGATCCGACGGGGGGGCACCGCCGGTATTAAATTATTATAATAATATATTGTAAATAATGGTGAATTAGTTAGGTCGCCGGGATGGATGCGGAGAGAAAGAGAGACGCGGGAGAAATACAACAATATACCATAATATTATTATTATTATTATAGCCTGCTACTATAATATAATATATATAGGTAGGTTATAAAATGCGCGCGCGAGGTTTCATTTTATTTATATATTTTTTTTTTCCATCCGCATTATTATTATTATTTTCAATCGGTTTGACATTTGTCTCACGTGTGCGTGTATAATATATAATACGTATATACCATACACACTAGATGTAGGCGAAGATGCCGCATTCCGCGTCGACCTGACCGCACCACAACTGGACCATCGCAGATGAAAACCAACCGGTATACACTGCATATACGCGAGTATAAAGACGCTCGCAGTTGACATTTTATTATTATTAAATTGTTGTTTTTTTTTTATAACTCTTTCCCTACTCTTCTTTTCGGTCCAACTTATAATACATATCATCTCGATAATAATAATAATAATAATAATGGAAAAAAAAAATAGAAAGTCACATGGCCCGGCTCATGATATTACGATGATAATAATATTATTACACTGGTCAAATAAATCGTGTCACGAAATTAACTCGATCTTATAAAGCGTACATATAGGTAGATAGTATATAATATAATACATGTTCGTCCACGTGAGCGAGTATAATAATATGCGTTATCTAACGATCGGCCACTGCATCTTCTATAATATATTGGGCTGAAGAGATATATACGAATGTGGGAGGGAGAGACAGACACTTTTTATCCGGCGAGTGTAGTTGCGTAACAAACGTTATTTTATCCCAAATAATAATAATAATCTTTGTATATCATATTGTGCAATTATATTAGAATAATGATATACGCGTATACATGTTTGTGTTTCGGGCCAGTGATCGGTATTCGGTACGCGGTTTTTTTTTTTTTTTGGTCGATTGAATCCGTGTAAATCAGCACATTCAATATATTATTATTATTATTTTTCCCTTCGAAGTCGCGAATGCCGGTTATTGACAACTCGCGCACACGGCATTCCACTGTAACGCATATACTCGTCTAACAATAATAATATACGTGTTGGCACGTTGATAACGATTTTAGATCACAATAATGGACGGTGATTGTTTTTAAGCGCGTCGAAATAATTTATTATAACACTAAGCACGCGGCCGGTTTGTGTCTCGAATAATCTCGATGAAATAATAATATAATAATGGACATCACGGACGAAGACGATAAACAATAATTATATTCCGAGTTGGTGAAGAAAAAAAAAGTTTTTTAATTCATCATTATTTACCTATAGGTATATACACTACTGATTACTATACTACTGTTCGTCTTCTGTATAAACGTAGATATTTACCAATAATAATGATAATGCGACAACAATACTGGCGGGGTGGAGTGACAGTGGACATTACACTTTCTTCTTTTTATATATTATACTGTCTTATATTATTAGATCGATTCGAAGAAGCACAATCTACGGAGAAGAATTAATTATTTTATTTTTGAAAGCCAATGCCAGCGTGCCAGTGGCAGCCGCGGCGGAGAAAGATTTACTTCGTCGTCACGACAATAAAACTTGTTCGCATTTGTATATAGGTACGTTCGACATTGTTTAACTGTTTAGGTACTACCCGCGTATTATAATGTTATATGGTAAAAAAATAGTAATATTGTGTATACAATTTTCTTATAGACACTATATCAGCGGCCACTTATTTATTAGTTTCAATATACTATAACAATAATATTAGGTATTAGAATATTTCTGATGCGAGAGTCATTACGCGTGCGGTACTCACTTTGCAGCCTTCGCAAGTAAAAGCTCCGAAGTGGAAACCGGCGGCTGGTTCCCCGCAAACTTTGCACTGTTGGTTCATCTGTAAAAAAAAAAAAAAATAATAACTTTTAAAACGGTTGATAAATCATATCTAAACAAGGAGGTGGCTTATCCTCGAATGATGAGCGTATATATCGTATTATAGGTATATCGCTGAACAATATATACATATTATATATGCTAAATAGATCTGGTCAAGGAAACCTACTAAAAATATTGGGTTGGCATTTACATATTATTGTTATTAATACTACTGTAGAATATTATAATATAGGCACCGGCTACATACACATATTGTATATTATGATGGTTACACGAGCGTTTTGGCCGAATCACAGACTATAACTCTTATTATTACTATAGTAATATTATACACTGCGTCTTTTCTGTCTCAATGAATATGATTATTTTACACACGGAAGCGTCATTATATAGAGGACAAATGGTTTTCGATATTTCATAGGTATATTATCTCCGGTATACACGGTACGTCTATAACAACAGCCAATACTTTTTTGTCACGCTAACTAATTGAGATTAATATATACAAGTGGCTGTGCAGGATACATAGGCCGAGTGTGTCTTCCGCATACATTATATTATACCTACTTTATAGCAAATCGATTTTCGCCGTTTCTTACACGCGTATTATGCATACACATGCATGCGCTTGCGTGCGTGTTAAGGAGGCGAGTACCTAATTAATAGCGTTATTAATTATTATAATACGTGTGCAATTGCTCCAAGTCACGAAATAATTAGGTATTATTATTTTAGAACTGCTACCGGAGCTCCCATAACCTAACCTTCGGCTTAAACGCCAATTGTATAATACCCGTTGTTCTTGTAAAAATCCGTATAGTCATCGTTGACGGAATTGACGCGTCTTATCGCTAGATCTACGGTGTACGATTTAGCTGCCACGAAACATTATAGGTATATAATATGGAGTGCCCCATCAGAGCTGCACTTTTGCCCGCGACGACAAGACCTGAGCGCAATTTTTAAGATTTATTTGACGGTTTTTGGGTATATAGTCGCATTGAACATTCGTAGTATATCTATACAATTCTATTTGATATAATTTTCGATTGATATCGCGATACGATTTTGCGAGGGTTTCGTCGGAAAAGAGGTAAGAGCCATCGCGATGTGGTCGTTAACGAAGTTTTTTTACTGTTTATGTATGCTGCAACAGCAGCGGCAGCAGTGTCGCCGGCTGGGGACGGCGGTTAATTAAATTTTATATGGCCGTGCGAATAAGCGACGGTGAAATATCTGAACGGCGGCATCTAGTGGGCGTAGGCGATATCGTGGGTCGTCGTATTCTACTGAGATTATTTTTCTCGAAAGACACACCAGCCCACCCAAGACAGCAGTGTTCTCGAGACGCTACCGGAACGGAAGACTCGCTCCGGACAGATATATAAATTGTGTTAAATTAACGGTCGTCATCATCATCGATCGCTATCCAATGCGCGTTTATAACATGTGGAAAAGAAATCGGAGCGGACGCTGCAGAGGACAATAATAATAATAATAATAATATATAATATCAAGTCAGTTATCCGGCTCCCCTTCCCCCTAGATATACAAATGTTTGTATATAACAGTATATATAAGGGCACCTCACAATATAATATTATCGTTGTGATATTATTTCGGTTGCTCTCGGGTTCTGTATTGTATAATACACTCGTATAAGATCGTTTACCGCGCGGACAGTGAATTTTTATGTATATTATATTATATTATTATATATTACACACGTTTAAAAAGATGACACCGGCCGCGACCGGTTTCGTCCGTCGCACGAATTGGCCGGCTTCCTAATTCAGAAGCGGGCTTACGATATTATATATACATATAACACACACACATATATATATATAAATATAATATATATATAAAAGTATATATGCGTACATAATACTCCACAAACACTCACACACACCCTCGCCCGAATGCCGTCTTCGACAATCTCTTGCGGACGACGACAACGACGACAACGTCAACGGCAGCGGTGGTCTCGGGGACGCGCATATTTATATAATATTTAATTTTTTTTTATTATTATTAATCGCCTGTATATAATATTATACATAATATTTTTATCATTATTATATCGTCGTCCGACGTTCATATTATTATTCAAATAGTAGATCAATTATTTATTTGCCGCGTGTGCGTTTTTCATTCGGAACAACGGACTGTACGCTTTTTTTACGTAACGCAGTCGGCACCACCGTGTGCGCGGGCCACACGCGAGGTACCTACTCAATACAAGTATAATATAATATATTATATTATATTATACGCGTATATATATGTGGTCACGGGCAGATCGGATCTGAGATAAAACCGTCGTCACCGAACTTAACTTCGTAACCTTTCGCAATGTTCGACCAACACAATATTAATAAGACGTGTTCTAATTTTTTTTTGTTTTTTTTTAATGCATCACGATATGACTACAAATTTGAAACGAATATTATATGATATTATTCCTAGGGGACGAAGACCCACCTTCGATCGTTTAAGAATTTGTAGCAAGACCATAAAAAATTTCACGCACACTGCAATTTTTTTTTTTTTTAACATTATCCAACGCCAAAGTCCTACATAATTTTTTTCTGTAAATCCAATGCACCCGTCGTCGGTTCGGAGGAAATCGTTTCTCACCATTTATTTACAGGTATCGAGCATATTATAATGGTTATTTTGATAATGTCAAATGAAACTGCAATATCCATCCCTCTTGCAAAATATTATTCAACGACGACGACGATTATTGATTATTTTTTTCTGCTTAAGTGATTTTCATATTATTATTATTTTAACCTATATTCCACGCCACTGATGCAGTCGTAATAAAATATATTAATATTATAATACACGGCGGTACCCACTCTGCAGTATATAATAAATTGATGATGATGACCAGGGTATATTATGATTTTTGGCCAACGATCAGATTCCGACGATTGCACAACGCGATAAAAATGAGAGCGAGCTTGCGAAGACGGAGGCTCTTCACTGCTGCAAACAGTGGTTTTTGGCGTTATCGAAACACACGCGCGCGTGATTTGGCAACATACCAAACGGTTTTCTCGAACGGCAGCTGCCGAAACTTAATCAAAGTCATCCGCCTAATCCCCCGGAACAATATTAACTCGCTCTTTCTCTCTTGGTCTCCTGTGTTTTTTTTTTTTTTTGTCGATGCACCGCGTCTTTTTGTCATTGACAAATTAACCGTAAATATATATACGCCAGTTGACCCTATCCCGCGAGATCCTCGAAACTCCTTTGCCGTCCCCTATATATACATTATTATTATTATGAGCACCCGATCATCATTAATATTGTAGACGTGTTTTGCAAAACCACTTCAGTCGTCATCGTCGTCGTTTATATTCTTCATTCTTCTTCTTCTTTATTATTATTATTTTTTTCGAGTGTGAAAGGGATGCGTGTCGCCCGTCCATTGTTCTCCGACGCGTATGTATAAAGTAACACGGACCATATTATTATTATTGTTATGGGTATACAAAAAAAAAAATTACGGTACTCGAATGTGCAAAAGAGCCACGGTATATAGGTACCTATATAGCAGTGCGTGCAGTATACATAAACAATCTGTCACTGGCGGCGAGAAGAAAATACGAAGGGATGTATAAAGTGTCGTCGGCGGCCAGTCTCGGCTTTTATTATTATTAATAATATTATTATCCTATAAGCGCCCGTGACCGGTGAGAACTTTATATTATTATCCTTGTGAACGGTATATAATAATACATAATACTATGCCATTCTGCAGCAGTGTCGTTGTTATCGCCTCGACAAAACCGTTATTTGCGTACACATATTATAAGATCTACGTGTTTGTTTTTTTTCTATTTTTGTGCGTCCATTAAACACTCGAGCGATGTCCACATAATATGCACCACCATACTTATGTGTGTACTATTATAGTAATACCTATATAGAGTTCTACCGAGAGAGAACCATAGCTCACATAGAAAAAACGACCGCCATCGTTGTTCCACGCAGCTTTTGACGATGACGGTCGGTGAAAAATATCCACCGAAGGCCGGCAAGAGGCGAACGCGAATAATATACAATATAAGTAATATATTATCCATTACTCTTCGTCATCGTGTCGTAAATTATATTTCCCAGAGAAAATAAAACTAGTATACGTGCCACGAACAAATTGAACAAATTGATGATTGTTCATTTTTTTTACCAAGTAAAAAAGTAATTTGAGAATTATTTTAATATATATATTGTTTTTTTTTTTATCAATTTTGTCGACCAATGTGTTTTTTTTATTAGCAAACACCGCCTAAACGAGTACTATTCTGCAGTACCGAGAACCTCACGCTCTTTAAAATCTAATTATGCTTGAATTGGCTATTACTCATTATATTTTATATCGGGCATTAAATAATAACAATATGTGAAATGTGAATGCACACTAAACGCTGCAATCGCCATGACTGAAAAATATCATCCGTTAATATAATTTGTCACGTACTCACGTGCGTTTTGCGAGAGTGTGATTCTATCTGTGGTGCAAGCGACAGTCCGATAGTAACATATTATAACACAATATAGATATAAAATAATATAGGGAAACATTAGCAGACGTGCAGATGGATCAATCACGCGATTTGATATTTTGTATAAACAAACGAAATCTGAGATGACTAAGCGTTTAGCAGCGACTGAATCGATTATATTGTGCGTTTTTATGGTTCCGGGTAAAAAAATAACGGTATATACGCGTGTGCAGTATAATAATATATTATAATATGCAGTAATGTCGTATTGTGACAGCGTCGTCTGTGCTCATGGGTTCTGTCACTGCAGCAGCAGCAGCAGCAGCATAGCAGTCGACGATCGTCAAAATCGATTCTGCTCGTGACGATGATCGATGAATGCACGACGAACTGCTGTGCAACGTCGTTTAAACGTTTTGGTGAAAAAAAATCCCTTTTCGGATTATACCTACCTGGCCGCTATACCTATATAGACGAC